TGTTGAAAACGTATGTCATCGTGGTTGTCAAGGGGGCGCCAACTCGTAGCTTTGGGCACCATGGGGGGCCAAGGCACCCCCTGACCCCACGCTAGTTACGCTGCCAAAAAACATGGGGCAACCGCAGGAAAGCATCCTTCTCCCAGCCCTTCTCATAGGGAGTAAAAACGCTCTCCGTATCCCTGACATGTCGCACACTAGAATAGCATTTCACGCAATGGCATCTGCACTTCGATGTATAACATGCACATTTATATCCTGTATTTACTTAAACCTCCAAATGGCGTGGTTGTCATGTTGTTTTGGGTGGCCTTGGTAACCATGATCGCGGGTTTATTAGATCATGTTTGGATTTTCCTTGGGAACTCTTGGTTTTCCTGCCACATGCATTTATTTCTTTACATATTCTTGATTCTTTCGGTAAAGTTACGTAGAAGGGAAACAATTAAATAATAAACATTAAATTATCGTAATGTTTTATTTTTATTATTTCCCTTCTACGTGACTTTACCGAAAGAACCAAGAATATGAATCCATGCAGTCACGAAAGCTTTAAATCGATATTTCTTTACAGTTAAACCTAGGAATTTGGATTGTATGAGTTTATGTACTATTGTTATATCACTTATCTCACTCGAATACATTACTCATTACATCACTTGACTAAGAAACAAGGTAAATTGTCATTTTCTATTTCGTCAGATACTCTCGATCTGCGTGGCATTGAGGCAATCGCACATTCAGAAGATTGAAATTTTAAATCCTAGCCGGAGTGTCGTATCCCTCCACCACCCAACACATCCAGTAACGTTTGTCACGTAAATAAAACGCGCCAATTAGTTACTATTTCAGCCCACCGGTGTGTTGGAGAGTAAATGCACATTTACAATTTGAGTACGTTTCGCTGATAATTACATCGAGCATCATCGGGCGATTTTCCAAACCTTACTAGCTCTGTCGGGTGGTGGAGGGTTACGACACATTTATACTTACGTGACCCAACCCAAAACCCTTCATTATAAATATTGGTCGCAAAAGCCGACGTTAAACACCCAGCCGGGGTTTAACCACTCATCATCCCTCCAGGGTTAACAAATTGTTTAACCGCTTTGGGAGACATCCGCAGCGATTCTGCCACATCCGATTTTCCTGATCCATTGGTTCAGGACCACCAGAGATTTGCATCATTGCTTATTTGAGCAGGAACATAGTGTGACTTTCGTATGGCTGATGTAGATGCAGAGCAAAAACTACAATTTCTCATTCAGGTGGTCAACAGATAACCCTGTCAGGAGCAGCGGAGTGTATCGCTGTCATGTCTCCTTTGTATTTGTGGATTGTATAGTCTATTCTGGATGCCCACATCTGCCATGGTTGGTGCAGACGCGATTGAAGGTGTACCATGAGCTTCGTGGAAGATCAAACCCAGGAAGGGGATCTTTTGCGTTTGGTCTTTCACAAGGCGTTTGTAAGTTATTTTGAACTCTATTCGGCTATCCAGGATTCAATGAGTCACATCCTCGCATATACATAATGTGCACAACCTTGTAATTTCAAGGAACACACACTATATCTACTTCAGTGACTGACAGACATTGTGACAAAAGGGTTGTATTAAAAGTAATATGCAGTACAAAATAACACACGAGGATACAATAATTAATACATAAACATAGCACGTAGAGACAATGGGTAACCATACTCCAATGCAGCGGTTCTCAATGGGATTTGACCATCACAAGTTTCCAATTAATTCCTCACCAAACTTTAATCAATTTCCCTTTTCAGTAGAAAATCTTTATCTATATGTACTTGCAATGAGCACGGTATGCTATGTTGAATAATAATGATGATAAAATTATGTGTTTAAAATTGTAATGACATGACAGACTCATCAATTGTGCACGTGAATTCCGAAGCATGTTTGTTTCAGAATTCAAATATTGCTCTTTATATGCCGGAACTAAAAAGACCTGCCATGCAGGTATAACTTAACGTTTAAGAGCGATTAATGTTAACTTGAATGTCTTGGATAAAGCAGTCCAAACTAGTATTGGATTAAAAGTGAAAATGGTTGTAACTCGAGAAAGTAAATTGTCATCGTTGCAACACAATAGAACTAGAGCAGATCGACATATACAATGGACTTAATTTGTAAATTAAAAAAAACTTTTAATTGCTTGTTTATGAATCTAGCATGAATCAACCACCATTGCATATTGTACATCACCTGTCAGCTGATATCACTGTACTGTATGCAGTTTTAATGTCATTATTAACATATCAAAACTGGAATTTCTGAAGAGCTCAGCTTCTGGCGAAAGAACCTTAACAAAATTGCGAACTCCATTTAAGAGATAATTTAAGAGTTAGTTAAAGCTTTTGCAATCACTACCGACTAACAATCATATCACCTTTTCACAAATAAATTACAGCACATCCCCTTCAGTCGCATTAGTACATAACTAACACTTCATGCAATAAACTTTGAAATATACTGTATTCTCATCGTGCAAACGTACATTTAATCAATGTTGATGCAGCATATGCAATGGGGAAGATCACTGTTTTATTAAGCAGTATTAATCCAGCCTAGTATTTTTTTTATTCTGAAGTTTAGTATTTCAATCAAACCAATATTTTAAAGCATTACATTAATGACTACTGACTACACCAGTGCTATGAAGCGCAATGCTTGCAACACTTTGATAATTTTCAAAGATGATCAACCCTAAAAAAAAGCCAATATTTTCTTTCTGTTAACATTATTTCACGAGCAAGTTATATTTTGGGAGGCCCCGACTTCTTATATCAAAATGATACACTGAACATTTCCATTGATGTTCTATTGTATCGCATACGTTTGTACTATATTGATATAATGGTAGACCGGAGTGTATGAGATTGGTTTGTGAGTTTGAGAACCGCAGCTCTATCACTATGAGCAAGCTCTCTATTTTAAAAAATCTTTTTACAACTACAAAATGTACAAACGAGTGGATAACAAATGACTGCAACTTAATGATATGGAGTAATATTTGTATGGCTTATGGCGAACACTGTCCGATTGTGCTACTGAAATAAAAATAAAATTTTATATATTCCCCTGCCATCTAAGAAGTTAATTACGCATATTCACAGAACAAGTGTAACCTCTTACTTAATACAGAAATTAGTAGCGATTACAAATATTTAAGCCATTTTTGCAATATGGTATCCACGTTTCCCTAAACAGCATTTAATATATTTGTAATATACAATAAATAATGAACACAATGAAAATACAACATTCTTGAAGCCAAAAGTCTGAACAGAAGTGATTTCTATCAAAATAATGAATCTACCTATATATGACATGGCAATGTAGTTAGGTATTTGCAAACACAACAGTTGGATCCTCAAAAAAACGTATCCATTCACTGACCTTTTACAGCAATTGTTATGATCAGTATTCACAAATGCAAAGCTTTGGCAAATACTGCACAGGCACAATGAAAATGTGACATCAGATTCCTACCCAGAACACTGTAGCCATGCGCAGTATTGTTAGTGCCAGCTAATTGTCTTCAGACACCGCCACATGATATTACATGAATCCACCGTAGACGATTCCAGTAGGGATCGAGATTCATCTGGGCAATTCCCATGGTAAAATATCCATCGACATTAAATGGGATTTAAAGAGTGATTTTGCCATATAAAGAATCATCCAACATGAATCCTGTTCCTAGAAATGAATGGGATTCCCTGACAGCATAGACATCAGCAGAACCCCCAAAAATGTAATAAGCAACTCATGCATCGCCATCAAACAGAATAGGGATTCTTTGAAATCATATGGATTGTCCAGTAAAATCTCCATTCATTATAATGGCAATTCCACATTGCCGACCAGGATCCACCTTGTAAAAATGCCATGCGGGCTCCAAACAGCCGAGCCTCAACCCCCTGATTATATCAATCATTGTATATTGTTGGGATTTTGTTATTTAATTACATATTATTGTTACTCCCTTTTAAACGTTTTGGTATTTATGACTATGGAATTACGTTTTTGAAGTTGATAGTTTTTAAGCCTTTTCTGTAATTCATTCCAGATTTAGGATGGTTGGCTATGTAGTTCAACATACATACATCCCATTAAAATACATTTTATATGTCATTTAACCCTAACCTTTGGGTTACATTAGCAAGTTGAGCATTTGTGATTGCTTCGTCAAAGTGAACATACATTTATGGAGGACAAAATGTGGTAAATTATTGTCATACAATGCCCTGCAAAATTCATGTATTGCATTTCTCTTGCACAAATGGAACGTCCCATTATTTAATTTAGCCTTTCAAATCCATTTCAAGGAATGCAGCTGCATACACTCATCTGTGGTTCAATCTTATTGAAGATAATCGATAATAAAACCGTGTGTGGACCTCTGCAACAGCCTGCACTGTACTATAGGTGACGAGTAAACTTGGGTCGTCTGCATAAAAAAACACTAGTCCCCAAAATCAAATCCCGCAGTTGCGAGTTGTATAATGTTGTTACTTTAACAAAGCGATACAACCCGAAGATATGCGACCGCACCGCGCGACAGTGCACACGCAACTTCAATTTAAGAACTATATGGAATGTACTTTTGTAACATTAGTAAAGGCAATCTTTTCTTCTTTCCCCGTTGTCACCAATATGCACATTTATACACGTAGGCTTTCGCGACCAATGTTATTCATAATCAACGTTTTAGGGTTTAGATCGCGTTTATTTATAAATGTGTCGTAACCCTCCACCACCCGACACGGCCAATCAGTAAAAATGTGCCACGTTGACAAAGACAAATAGTTCACTGCTTTAGCCCACCGGTGTGTTGAAGCCACAACATTTACAATTTGAGTACTCAAATGTTGTGGCTTCAACACACCGGTGGGCTAAAGCAGTGAACTATTTGTCTTTGTCAACGTGACACATTTTTACTGATTGGCCGTGTCGGGTGGTGGAGGGTTACGACACATTTATAAATAAACGCGATCTAAACCCAAAAACGTTGATTATGAATGCACATTTATCTTTGTCCAATCAGAATCTGCCGGAGGACCAAACACAGGGACACAAATAATCAAAGGCAACATTAACGGACCTAGTACGTAAATTGTGTTTTTGTTTAAATGTTCATGAACGCTCCTTAGAACTATTGATAATTATTCTTTGAAAAATCAAACCATCAAGTTTGTACACGAGGCTCCATGGCATGCATAGGACTTAAAAAAATTGATACATCTCCCTGTAAAAGTTTACCTCAAAATGTGGGCCTATTTAACAGCTACACAAAAATACCTATTTTGCAAAAGACGTTTTTATTTGTTTCATTGTAAATGAGTATTTTTAAATAACCAATGCATGCCAATGCTCATGGCCGAAATGTCCTGCAGATTTACAAAACATACAAATCACGAAAGGGCACCCATAATGAGCCCTAAACAGTCAACGGAAACACTGCAACTTGTTATCAAAAGCCAAATATTACTGCAGTGCTGCTTTCAATTTAACAGGCATTCTATTGTGGTCATAATCGCGTCACTAAAAATGGATAAATAAATGCTAGGCATCCAGATATCTTCTATCCAATTAAAATACAGAACAGATAAAGTAGAAAATATAAATCTTATGAACCATTTTATATATATATTCATTACATATAACCCAAACTGTTTTATGCAAATACATCAATATCATTATTTAAAAATCATTTTTACATTACCATTTATGCCCAAGACTAAGTTTTAATTCATCTTCTTTTACTGGGCCAAGCGCAGCAGTTTACTTCATCCAGCAAAAATCGAACTTAAGTTGCTCATAGAGGACTTACATTTTGTTGGTTTTCTTTTAACTTTTTGGCAATGGGAGAGTTACCTTGTATACCTCGACAATTACAGGAATATCTCTTATCCATTCTGTGCTTGCAGAAAGGCAATTACAGCCAACATTCACCATATCAACTGCCAAATATCTGCAGTTATCTGCTGAAAATTCCAGTGGAAACTGCCGATATGCCAAAAAGTGAAGCAAGCGTTTGCAACTCACCCTACCATTGTTTTTTGGATGAAACCTACTGAGACTTCTTCTAGGCTGGCAAGGGCATTCAGAAAAAGGAGTCTTTTGAATCGTGTAAAGGGCAAGGCTGGGGACCATGGTTACCATGAGGACCCGGGTTGAGTGAGTTTGGTGGGTGGTGCGTGTGTGCTAGTCGTTCTTGTGGCAGTACAGGTCCTTGAGCGTCTTGAGTTCCTCAATGAGGGTCTTATTCTGATTCTCCAGCACAGCTACGCGGTTCTCCAGGCACTTCACGTACTCCTTCTTCTTCCGCCGACATTCACGTGCTGCCTCCCTGAGATTTGGCACACACACACACACAGTCTTGCGCGAGGAATAGCTACAAAGCTATTTGGATTTACAAAGCGTTTAAAAAGCAACGACATCTCAAGATGTTGTAGAAGTAGGGAACATTATGTAGCAATCAAGTGGACATGGCGAGAAAGTTAGGATGTTCTTTGCAATTATATTGCAACTCTATTGTCTGCATCATTGTTTGAATGTGTCTCTGTTAAACAACGGCTACAATAGTTACATTTGGGTCAGACTCCTTTGCGACTTTGCTCAAAATTCCTTAACAGTTTTTATTATCGTTGAACATTCAACATCGCTTGCAACACAGTTGCAAAATAATTACCAAAGTTATAATGTTTAATAAAGGCTGTGGTGCAATATTTGGAGACAATATGCACCACCTGCTCAGCTCACGACGACACAAGTTCTGCCATCACATGGAATTGCAGATACTGTAGATCTAGTCACATGACATGCAGTAACCAAGCTAAAGCTTTGACAAAAAACTAATGTTTCTGAGTATAAGTATCCATACTGTTCTAAAAATTGAGTTCCAGCTCCCAAAACTGTTTAATACTATCCCACACATTAACCTTTTCACAAATCAGAATGTGATGTGGTCAGAACTTGACATGGTGGTGGACAAAAATGCATCATCAATGACGCAACTCTGTTCTGACGCCAACTAAAACTAGTTTTATTGGTAATAAACGACTTATAAAAAATAAAAAAAACTACAGTACTTTGTCAATCCGCTGCCATACATGTAATTTAACTGACATTTTCAACAATGGATGACCGCAAATGTTCCACTGCTTTGCTCTCGGTGAGAGAAGCACCCCTGTGTTTTACGAGTTGAGGTGGCGGTGGCAGCGGCAGCACCTGTTTTTGTAGAGGCGGATCTCGCGCTTGCGCGTGGACTCCTCGGCACCCCCCTGGGGGCTGGCCAAGCCCCCCGGGGACGCGGACACCACCACGCTCTGAGAGAGCCCGCTCGTCGGAGTACGAATCTGGTACGTCTCGCCTGATGCAGCTGTGGACACAGTCAAGGTGAATAGAGGTCAATGGGTGTCGATACCACCTGGAAAAGTACCACCACTGTCTGATTTAAGTTCAGTTTCCACACTGTAAGGGTTTGTTAATGAAGTCTTGGTCAGATTAATTTGGTGAAGAGTAGTCACATAGCTGCTGCTTTCCGTTGTAGACCTGAAATCCTCTGCTTATCAACATGCATTCGAACAAAAAACATCTGCCCTATTTTTTTCAATTGTGGTGAACCATAATTTTGTTGTTGCCATCATATTTTTACCATTTCATTCAATTTTGAGAGGGCATCGCCTGTTCATAGTTCCTCCTTGTATCATGTTATCTCATTATTTATTTAATTTGTTCCTAAACACAGTTGGCTATGTGTACAAGGCAGCAGAATGTATACATAGAACATGGAATGCTAGGTCATGCGATGGCAATACATACACTGCACGACGACTTGGCTGCCCGGTACAAAGAATTGCTGCCCGTCGCTGGTCTGTGCGTACTGCACAATGGTGGCGCCCCCTTGCTGGTTGCCTGCGTTCGTCATGGTCAGCGTCTGGAGACCCTCCGCGCCATTGGCGATCTGTATCGCGCCGCCTTGCGCGATTGCAACTGTGGAGATACACCAGAACGAGCTAAATGGGTGACACGCAATACTTTATAGTCCGAGTACATGTGGTTTTTAAGACAGAGAGTGTATCGATGCCAAAATGAGCATTGGAGGCTGCACTCATTCATGTTGAGAGCCATGAATCAGTGGTGGAATTTCCACACTCCTATATTACTTGCTATAAATGTTTTTAAACAACAAATGTTGACTTCCCACCAAATGGCACGTTTATGTCATTTCCTATTTACAAAGAGTTAAATTGTCTCCATGTTCAAAAGTTTGGAGAGGTACTCATCTCCACTGGCCACCCAAGTTTTAGAAATGTGCCTCAAAAGCAAGGCAATAAAAGTTCTGATACAGGTTTCCCTCGCTTTATGCGAATTCGAGTATATGCTGCCTACCTATTTCAACCCAAAATGCACTATATGCGGTTTGAATTAACTTACATGCGGCTATAAAGTCGGACGTGGAATATTGTGTGTGCTGTATGTGCTACTCAGCAACTCTTTTTCGCTTTGCGTGCCCTTTTTTTTAAACGCATCTATCGCATAAACCAAGGGAAACCTGTATTATAAAACTACACAAACACCTTCATATATGTACATGTATATGCACTTCTAAATCTTGTCATCACATGCAAACTACCATTGTTACGCACCACTTGATCTTGTGTTAAACATTTTGAGTTTCATGTGGTTTTTCGTGTTTACATTTTCCACAACAATTCTGTCATTTGACAACCTTCTTGCATCTCAAAGAATCAATAGACATGCCCAGACCTGACATTTTATCACACTCAAAACGAAATCCCTGAAATTAAATATTTAAATTTGAGCAGCACACTGATGGGAGGTGTTTTTATTAGTGATACAATTTTAAAAAATAATAATCAATATTACGGCAAAAAGATAAATAAATACTTTTGCACTAAAACCATGAAGAAAACACGAATGTTTAAAGACAATTCGGTGGAAGGAAACTACATTTTAAGGTATACAGATTCAAGATAAGCCAATATCTGAATATATTCATTTTCCATTAAATACATTTTGCTCATATAAAAACAGGTAGTATAATGAACGACTTCAACAATACTTGCCAAGTCATGTAAAGTTAACGTATACAAAATAAGCACACAGCTGCAGTGCAAAGTTAAGGAAATTGCAGTGACATAATAAAAAAAAGTTTATCTGAAAAATATTTTCCACAACATAATTGTATGCTGCAACTATCGCTCATTATCACTGGGATGGCTTCTTGTGAATAAAAACTTCATATAAACAACGATTTCCTGAGCCTGGACAATTTACACCCTTTTTGACGTTTTAACTCTCCCACAAACGTGAATCCACTTACTGTACTGGCCAGTGCTGGTCTGGTAGATGGGTGTGGGCAATGTGACGGTGCTGATGGTAGCTGTGCCCTCCTCCTCACTCTTCTCCTCATCAATCTTGGACACCACAGGTCCATCTGATGACAGGTCGTTGAGTATCTTCCTGTGTGGTGAAAGGGGTCACCAAATGTCAGCCACACAAGCACCATTCCATCCTGCAGAATGATTCCCTCCACTTAGCAACTTCCTGTTGACTCCTCACAGAGAGCTACTCACTTTAATGGCTCAATAAAAACAATGAGCCAAATTGACCCCTGACCAGAAATTGAACTGATAAAGTTTGAATTGTGAGGCAAGGGCTCTAACTAGTGCCACCCAGAAGAGAGTAAATCATTCAAGTGACATAAACGCAAGAGGTTCCGATGTTCCACTGACCTGTAAGAGGGCCGTCTGGACAGGATCTCCCGCCGCTTCTGTGAGATAGCAGAGCCATCTGCAGCCTCCTCAGAAATAGCAGCCACCTGTGGGGAAATTGTTAAGAGGTACCCTTCCATAATGTGTATAGAATGCAACAGAAACTCACCTCTCAGTGCATACATGTAAAAACAGTCTATCAGACTGCTAGACCCATCAACATCGTGGAAACGAATTACAATACAATTAGTACTGTATATAGCATTGCTTTATATGTGAACTATAAATGAGGGCCAGCAGAGAACACCAAGGAGTGTAGACCATGCTTAGTACTACATGATTACATAACTTATTACCCTCCTCTCCTAACTGCAATACTTTTTATATTATGTCATTGTATTACCACTATAGCATCTCTATTTCTGGCAATAATTAGATCCACAAACGTCAACAAAAAATGCTGATATCCTCTGAAGCGCCCTGTTAAAGCTCAAAAAAGTCCTGCACACCTGTATGGTCTGTATCTGTGGAGACTGGATAACAGAAGGCTGTGCTGCCTGGATAACCGACTGCACTTGCACTGTCTGCCCCCCAGGCAGCTGCACCACCGCCATGGTTGGGCCACCGGTTGTCACCACCTGGCCTGCAGCAGACACTTGCAGCTGTACGCAAAAGTATGGAGGCATACAGGAAAACACACAAAGGCACAGCCACAGAAACAAACATCGGAGCACAAATGTAATCAAATTAATAGTTATGTAGCACAGCATAGCTGCTCATGCCTCAGCACACTTGCTACTTAAACTGAACAAGCCAACACTGCCTCGATCTACCCCTATGAAGTCATATGTACATCTTATGGTCAGCTTTGGTTCAGTTTCTGTACAAATTGCTGACAGACTAAAAGTCTTTAGTGCTTTGTGGCATATATATGCCCTGGGAAACATTACTGAATAACCCTCATGGAAATGAATTTCTCAATGCACATAGAAGGCATCCGAATGTGTGTACGAGAGTGGAGGGGAGTCAATGGGAGCAAAACTGCATGCATGAGTGACACAATTTGCAAGTAGACGAACGAGTGAAGGGTGAATAGCTATGCGAGTGCATCATTGCACACAGTAACCGAGTGTGAGTTAGGTCAGCTGTCGAGCGAGCGAGCAAGCAAACGTTCAAAGTTACGTAATGTAAGCAGTGCATTACCTGCTCCACTGTCACAAGCTGTGATTCTCCCTCTCCGGCACTCACAGACACAACACCTTGTTGTCCCTCTGACATGCTGTTTTGTACCCTCCGAGGCCTGCCATCATCAAACAAAATGCACCAACACGACAAGTGTGTATTTTCAAAGCAGCCACGTAATTTCATGAAACGTGTTTTAAATATGTATAGAGGGATTGAGAAACCATGGTTATTTATTGTGGTAATATGCTATTGTAATGGAGGTGATATTACATTTTCAACTTGACCCAGTTGTGGGTTGCCTCAAATTATTATCTCTCGAAGATCAGTGCATACCATTTTGTGTAAAGCAGAAAGGTGAACATCCTATGAGAAACTCCCACATCTCCAAATAGCCCTATTGGCTATGTTCGGTGCGAAAGAAGTTCAACATACAAACAACTAGTCCTATCGTATGTCATTTCACAACTGGTTCATGTCTGCCAATCAAAGATAGGCACCACCCACTGCTCAACTGAGTATGGAAAATGGCTTTTGACGTATTATATATTATAATTGATAAAGCAATTGATTAAACAAAATATGTACTGTGTGAACTGCATTATAGCATCGAAGTACTTTCATTTTTAAACGAGGATCGGTAGGGTGCTCTTCTCCATCGGGTTGCTTAAGTCTCTCAACATGATTACTGATGACTTCCCACAAAGTGGTAATCAATGTACCATTGGCATGATGGGCTTGTCAACCCCACCTAAGAGTTGAACTAATATAACTTTGATTGTGAATGCTCCGACCATGGCACCACTTGTCAGGATAGATTTAAAGTCAAAATCGTTTCTTTCCTCCAACAAACAGCAATATTTGCATGGCATTACACAGCCATCTAGAAGTGGTATGTCTTGTGCACATAAAATACGTGACCACAATGCAAATGCATAAAAAACATTCACACGATTTTACTCAATCATCAGCATTCATTCTTTTTCATAATCATTAATTCACTATAATTAGAACAGGTGAACGTACGCCTCACGATAGACCGTTCAATCAGTATTGTCAATGAGCCGGTTTTCCTCAATGGTGCACCACTTTATAACTGACAAAGAACACATGCTGCTTAGTTGTAATTACCCTTGGAAGACAATTATGTATTTGGCTGCTGTGTAATTGCTGCCCATAAAAACTGTGGATTATTGCACTAGTGCAAGAACGGGCAAGAGGCTGGATCTGATAATGGTGGAAAATATTACTCCTAACTTAACCTAAATTAGTTTTGGAATAACCTTAATGCTTTTTTTAAAGATGCCTTCTCTTATTGTTTTTTTTTCTATCATAGCATACACAGCAGAGATTCAACGTTTTATTCAAATGTTGCTGTAACACATTGAACTGTCACTTATTTACATAAATTGGTGTCCTTGCTGCTTACATTGCAAACAGATACTAAAGTATTGCCCCTTTCATGAAAGCATCATCTCTGCATTGATTCCATGAAGCACCAATATTTTTTCTAAATTATATACGCAAATGATTTAGCCGTTAAGCAAAACTAACAAATATTTAGCCAATGCTAACTAAATAGGCTAAAGTAAATGAACGATTCACTTAAAAGCCCAAAATACTATATTAATAACACTAATTTTTTTTTTTATTCCTGGGTAGTGTTATTTCCTAATTGCTTGTGACTCAAAAGTACAGAAAACGGCTATTATTCCCCACAAACTTTGCTTTTGTGACCAGGATAGTCATATTTTTAAATGTACCTATTTTCAATGAGAAAACGTGTGCAATTGTCTTTCGTTCACATAAAGTCCTTGTCACAAAAGCAAAGTTTGTGGGGAATAATAGCCATTTTCTATACTTTTTAGGCATAAGCAATACAAAAATAACACTTAGTACCCAGGAACAGCAGCCAAAGAATAACTCGCTCTACCAGTGATACTCTATAGGTAACTTACTCTAGATTGTTAATGTTGTGGCGTTGCTCTCCAACACACCGGTGTGCTGTACTAATTAACTGACATGTTCTGTTTACGCAACAAACCTTACTATTTTGCTGTCGCGTGGTGGCGGGTTTCACGACACATTTATATATTTACACGATCTAACAAAAAAAAACTGTATTATGGAGGTAACAGAGTGAATGCACTTGTACTCAATAAGAATTATGCAGTCTAAAACCTTTTTTTATTCACCATTTTGTAACAGGACCCTGCGGGGTGGGCTGGTAGGAACGAATAACCAAATAATATAAACATAATGTATTATTACACTTGTTTAGCCAGGAAAGCCCCACTGAGTGTAAAGGTTTTTGTAGGGTCCTGCCAAGTGTTTGCAGTAGGGGGCGATGTTGCGAGACCTAATCGGACGATACGAAGGGAGACTTTGAGGCCTAGTTCTAAGCTTTAGACCCAGCTGTAGGCTTTAGGTCGCTGTGAGTTAATTTTTAATTTAAATGTTTTAATTATTAATGTAAAAGCTTGAAATTTAAATGTTTCTATTTAAAAACAGGGAATGTAACATTGTGAAACATTAACTCCCTTTCACACATGCGGGGGTACGATACGAAGGGAGAGTTTCTGGCCTAGTTCTAGGCTTTAGGTCACTGTGAGTTAATTTTTAATTTCAATGTTTTAATTATTAATGTATAATTTAAATGTTTTAATTATTAATGTAAAAGCTTTAAATGTAAATGTTTCTATTTTAAAACATTAGGGAATGTAACATTGTTAAACATCAACTCCCTTTCACACACGCGGGGGTACGATACGAAGGGAGACTGTGAGGCCTAGTTCTAGGCTTTAGGCCTAGCTGTAGGCTTTAGGGCGCTGTGAGTTTTTTTATTTAATTTCAAAGTTTTAATTAAAAGCTATCTCAGGGAATTATAAGGGAATGTTACACGTGTTTAGCCAGGAAAGCCTCATTAATTTAAATGTTTTAATTAAAAGCTGAGGGAATTATAAGGGAATGTTACACTTGTTTAGCCAGGAAAGCTTCAGAGTCTAAAGGTTTTTGTAGGGTCATGCCAAGTGTTTTCAGTAGAGGGCGATGTTGCTACACGTAATCGGATATCGGACGGACGGACTAAATAATCTATTGTAGGCTGGTCCACTTCGTTCCTACCAGTAAAAGTTCTTCTTCTTGTGCTGCTTACAACCGGGAGCAGAAACAAGAATATTGCTCGAGTTGATGAGGCAGAGCCATTTGTTCAGGTGATGACGGCTGCTTGCGATGTGGCCGAAACGTCGTGAGAATTATTTTATTGTTTAATTTTTATTATTTTATTACTTCCCTTCTACGTGATTTTACCGAAAGAACCAAGATGAATCCCTGCAGTAACGAAAGCTTTAAATCGAAATTTACTTTAGTTCTGTTGAAATGTCTCCTTGGACCTGCATGTAACACTCAATCACCATACATTTGCTGGGCGAATATGGTAGTAAGGAGAACATTTCAGGTGGACAGGGGTTCATGAATGACGATGTTTGTTCGATCTTGGTGATTGAGACCTGCTGCACAGGTGTGGGGCATATGATAATTGTTTTTTTACCCTTTTATCTGGCAACAAAACTGACACCTTTTTTTACAAGGAGTCATGTTTGCATTGACCACAATACCTGCGGTCGGAATGCAAACAAAAAACACAACTCTGATAATGTATGCACCGTCCTTGAAAATGATTGGTCCACACCCGAGACAGCTTTTCTTAGAGCCTAGTCTCACATGGTGTTAGACCAGATGACACCAAAAGGCGCACAACTCAAAGACAATGCACCATCAGAGTATGAGAGCTCGGGATAAGCATTTACACCATTGGAACCTCCTTTGCCAGTCGCAAAATATGAGTTTTTTTACCCTTTTATCTGGCAACAAAACTGACACCTTTTTTACAAGGAGTCATGTTTGCATTGACCACAATACCTGCGGTCAGAATGCAAACAAAAAACACAACTCTGATAATGTATGCAAAAAAGTGTCAGTTTTGTTGCCACGCTTGGCATTTGCATGGATCTCCAGCTCCACTTGCCTATTCCAGGTGCACCAAGCAAGTTTTGACAAATCTGGGAGAGGCATTTACTGGAGATAGCAAGTGTCAATACTTGCTGGAGTATGTCGCTTGAAACTGTTGACCAATTTCTGATTGTATTTAATTGCGGGAGAACTGGTGTATCTGGAATACATGAAATATATATATTTTTAATTATGAGTTGGCAACCTATAATCTGTAATGTAAACATTGTCGCCCTGGAGACGTGATGTCTGGGTGAATCCACTTCCAAAGTGGTCAAATACGTTACTTGTCACACCAATTCATGCTATCACAAAACCATCAGCGTTGCATTTAAAGAGCAGACTGTATTTACTTTGCTATGTTCACCGTTAACGCACACATATGCAACCTCCATATGGTGCATCACCATTAGCCTCAGATTCTAAACCTCATGTTTTCGGTGTGGCATGTGTATTTTTCTAAAGCTTGTGCATTTTCAATGACCAATAACAGCATTGGCTCATATTCAACCTATGTTGATTGCAATCCTTTTTAGAATGTAGCTCAATAATCACGATTGGCTCATTGGGAATCAATTATTGCACTGGTTGTGTGAAAACGCAATCAGTTAACTTAAAAGTGCTTCAATGTATAACGTGCTTAATCTAGACATCTGGTAACAATTCAAAGGATTTTTACTTCAAGCAATCGAAACTAAAAGTGCAGCATTCATAATACATTCCCCTTGGAAATGTAATGAGGAATTGTTGCCTCTAAGGTGCGTTAATGCTGCACATTCCAAAATAGTCCAAATCAGTTGTTGCACAACATCCAATAGATATTAAAACCATCACTCAGTCGCATATGCAAAAAAAAATCTTTATTGTTCAATTACACGTGATGTGTTACATAAATGACCAGTGGGCCGTCATTTGAATTAGTTTATTCAGTTCGTTAATTTCATATTCATATCTATTCAGCAGCTGTCATATCAGTGTCTGTGATTCGTTTTTGGAGAATGCAATCAGTGATTTTTCTTCCTCACTTTTTGGTCTTCACTTGTCACTCTGATTGAAGACCACAAAAGCAGTTATTTTACATCATGGGACCTTCTTTGCCAGTACCAAACTATGATAATAGGTTGTTCCCCTTTTTTGGCAACAAAACAGGTGTTAAGATGTTAAAACACCAAACTGAAACCTTTTACAAGGAATCATGTCTGCATTAACCGCAATGCTTGTGGTCAGAAAGCAAACAAAAACACTCTGCTAATATATGCATTGTCCTTGAAACTGATTGGTCCACACCAGACAGCTTTCTTTTGAGCCTCGTTTCAATCCCTTTCAAGGACAATGCATATATTATCAGAGTATGTTTTTGTTTGCATTCTGACCACAAGCATTGCGGTTAATGCAGACATGATTCCTTGTAAAAGGTTTCAGTTTGGTGTTTTAACATCTCCACACCTGTTTTGTTGCCAGAAAAAAGGGGAAAAACCTATTATCAGCAGTTATTTTGTACATTTGTTTGGTTGTAGTAGCCAATGAGATAAAAAAAATCCTTCTGAAAAAAACTAAATCTAAGTTATAAAACGAATTCATAACATGTTAAAAGTATTTTGAATTCATGACATTTGTGAATGACCATTTTTTATTTTAACATGCTTAAAAACACTATGAGATGTGAGACTAATACATTACAAGATGTATACAGTAATTACATCCAGAAAAGCAATTGTGGACATTAACTGACACATGGAATTTAAAACTATCAAATGGGGTTTCCTTCGCAAAGCAATGCCGTGAAGCAATGCTGTAAAGCTTTTTTGGCTACATTTTTCGCCCCAACACCTTCGATGCAAATACATTAAAACAACACTCAATAAAAAATAAGACGTGTAACCTTACAGTGGAAGGCATTAGGTAAGCCTGCTGACATAGTTGCAATCATATATTCATGATGTAGTCTACAAATTTCACAACTGAAGACATGAGTAATTCCAGGCTGCAAGTATGTTTAGTACAACTTAGTTTACATTTTTGTAAAGCACACCTGGCTCTAAATAACAAAAGCACCACAAGACAATTTCATTCACCAATTTTTCAATCAGTTGCATTGACTGACATACCTGCAATGGTTATACAAGCAAAATTATTTTCACACTCAATATAGTAGTCGTGTAGTGATCTATAATGGAGAAAATCAAGTTAAGACATTGTAATTATAGTACTAGGCACGCTTTTCAAGTTACTTTACTGATTGCTGTGCACGTATTTACCCTAAAAAGTGAACTATTTAAGTTGTATTGGAGTTAAGAGGATAAAGGTTACTGTAAAGCCTGTGCTCTAGTTAACATGGTTTATTTTTAGATTATCAAGCTGCATGCGAAACCCAAACTTCAAGCTGGTTACCTCCCTTTACATGGGGGAATAAAAGCAGATTATATTATTAAGCAGTTTTCCAAGTCAGTGCATAGCATATTGTGCCGTGACATGACCACTGGTTACTTGATAATATACTGCATTAAAGGTCAAATGAAATGGCATTTGGCATTGTCCATAACATATTATGTTTATATTTTTTTTAACCAAAATTAGTGTATGGAACTGGCTATCAATTTCTGTTCATAAGTCGCATAGATAGTGCGCATTTAAAGCTGTTTAATTAGACACATTCAAGGCACAAAAATGGAATTTTAGAAAATGTGTACAAGTTTTGAAACTGATTTCAATTAGTGCATTATGAACATGTGTTTTCTGAACAGAGCCTGAACACCTCACCCACTGCAGCAAAAATAATGCATTTATGTATGACCTTCCCAAATAATAGGCAATCTTCAATTATATCGCACCAAGTCAATAATTTGAGTCTCCTATGCAGTAGATCACACAATTATGCAGTCGGAGCACTGACATTGCAGCACCACATTATGCTGGTGTACATTAGTTTTTATGAATGTTGGCAGAAATAAATTAAACGCTGGAATTCTTAAATGAGTAACTTATGGCCCAACCCTATAAATAAGCAAGTATTACGTCATCATGAGTTCATAGGCTGTGGGAAGATTTGCCCACCCATTCTGCAAACACCACATCCTCGATGCAATGCACCAATGCATACATAAATGAGGAAGTACTGTATCACCTTATTTTGGTGCTTCAGGCACACAAGGATAGAAATACAATGCAGACAGACAATTTGGTGAAAAATGGTGGCAATAAACTAAGAATACCATTACAAAATAAGAATTTACTTATTCACAAGAGGTTCACTTGTTTCGAATAGTTTTACGTTGGGATTTTGATGTCGCATGTCATCTACCCGAGTTGAAAACTGGATGGGAGATGTAAAGAGGGACAAACGCAGCAGTGCAATAACCACAAAGTTAACAAGGCATAATACATGAAGATTAAGGTGTATTAGTTTTTCAAACAATATCTATACTAAAAAGAATGTACCATTTACTCATACACATTGCAGTCAATGTTTGGAAAGTATGTTTACCATTATACGTTACAATATTTAAACCAATCTTTTCTCCGAGCCAGTTCTTTGCCCTTAATCTCAAGTTAGATGACAAGTTATTTGACTCAAGGTACAGTGGATTAGACTTAAGATTCAATCAAGTCAATAATACATAAGATGAAGCTTGTACAAAAATTAGGGACCAAATGAGGTGACATTCATAATACATCAAAATAAAGATGGCATGCTACAATTACCTCGACCAAGCACAATAAACAAACTATAACATCACTAGAATACTGCGAATTATTCGTAATAAAACTAATTTCTTTAAAGTAATTAACACATCGTTAAGCTTACATTTTAAGGGAATAGGGCTTCTTTCAAACTCAGAAAAGAGACAACTGCTTAAAAAAGCATTTTCTATGTTTTTGTATGACAAGTCATTCATGACTAAATTAACGAGTTCCCTCCACAACCACCAACATAACTACTGTACAATATCAACAACAATCCATCAACCTCTACACAATACTAATAACAATAACCAACCAAAATCAGTAGAGCTCCAATATTACAACCCTGGACATCACCCTCACCGACAGCATTATGCATAAAACTTAATAAACCATGATTCTAATAAAGTAAACAAATACATACGGTAATAAACTGCAGCTTCAGAGAACAGGACATATTTCGGGGGCAGATCTTCGAACGGCGGTTGCTAAAGCATTGACTCCAAACTCTTGTAATATAAAGACAATGCGAAATATAATATTTATATTTATATACCTGTCAATTCACTTAGGGACAAATGCAACCCTCTCAGTATCGCTAATGAACTTGTTGACCATACACAACGCTAGTTAATGGTGTTGGGAAGGGGGCGATTGGATAATTATTTAAGATATTGCTCGCCACTGATGTTAGCCTAGGAGGGAATCAAATGTTCACCCCTACATTTACAGCCTATTCTTACCTTGATTTTACCTTACACAATCTTTTTAGCATCTTTTAGGTCAATCGCTATGAACACAACCCACTAAAGAGACCAACTGAATACATGGTTCACAATACCTCACTAAGTCAGGACTTTACTAACCACAACAACCTTACATCAATCACGACATAACAATAACACCCCCACCACATGGCAACCCAATGCATAAGAAGCTTCATTACTACCATTAACACAATTTAAGTTACCGTAACCATGTGGTCATTATTTTACCTGTAAACAGCATTAACTCTTATGTAAACTAGATACAGTATTACCATTCACACCATGATAATCAGTCACAAAGCGCCATTAAGTATATCATAATGCTGTAAAATAATTGTATATCTACACACATGAAGGGCTAAATCCTAGCAGTCTTGACGGAGTAGTTTTCGCCATAAAAGGACCAATACTATACGCCGATAACAACGTAAAAGACACCCGTTCTAAGGGAGACCTAAAACCACGTCAATACAAAAAACTATCGCAATAACCAACAATGTAAACAAACATAAATAAAAAAAACTAGCACGCCACCACCACCAACTTGTACTGGAGTAATCGCCACTATTACAAATTAAATATCCCCACTATTACAAATTAAATATCAATCATTAAATATCAATCACAACTAAAAATCACGATCACCAACCACGAATATAAACTCCCAACAACAAGCACCTTCACGACCATCTCCAGCACAGTTATCACAATTACCACCAAGATCCCCACCATAATAATCACTACTAACCATAATCATCACCACCAAAATCATCATCACGACGATCAAACACCGCGATCTCCCGCGCACGCCGCTGGGCCGGGCGCCACACGGCGCGTTCCCGCCAACACGCACCGACCTCGCCTAGCTACCCTGCCGGTCTGAGGCGTGGTGGAGGCGGCAGAGCCTCACTAGGCCGCACGTCGTGAGCATCGAGGAGTCCAGGGAAGTAGGGGGGGCGCTCATACCGCTCCGATCAAAAGGCCACAGTCGTACTCATCCCGGACAGACGGACGGACAAACGAACGCGCTCCACTAACCCCCCCCAAAAGTTCACGATTTTAAACTCGTTCGAGTACGGCAAACTGCGTGACGGAGGGGACCGAAGCGCGGGCGGGCTGCATCAGAGATCGGCAAGCGAAGAACAACAACAGCAGCAGCAGCCATTACAACTGGGAGGCCCCCGGGCTGAAGGGCCGCGCGTTGGTGCGACGCGAAAAAAAAAGAGAAATAAAAACGACGCGAATTGCGTGTCGGCGGAGCCCTCCCGCCCCCCGTCGACGAGGCGCGCGAGTAAAACGAAGCGAGTCTCGTCGTGTGACGGGGACTTACCCGCCGCTTCGTTACGTACGGGCGCTCGTCAGAGGCTGCCGTGTGCGCCGACTGGATGTCGCCTCGATACGTAGCCCAGACGTCAACGGCGCCGCGATGACAGAGAAGCGAGGGCGCGGGGCGGGGAGAGAGCGAGGGGCGGGGTGGGTGGAGAGGGAGGGGGGCGGGGTGGGTGGAGGGAGAGAGGGGCGGGGTGGGTGGAGGGGGAGAGGGGCGGGGTGGGTGGAGAGGGCGAGGGGCGGGGTGGGTGGATGGGGCGAGGGGCGGGGTGGGTGGATGGGGCGAGGGGCGGGGTGGGTGGAGGGGGCGAGGGGCGGGGTGGGTGGAGAGGGAGGGGGCGGGGTTAGAGGGTGGAGAGAGGGAGGGGGCGGGGTTAGAGGGTGGAGAGAGGGAGGGGGCGGGGTGGGTGGAGGGGGAGGGGTAAGAGGGGTGGATCGAGGGAGGGGGCGGGGTTAGGGGGTGGAGAGAGGGAGGGGGCGGGGTGGGTGGAGGGGGAGGGGGCGGGGTTAGAGGGTGGAGAGAGGGAGGGGGCGGGGTTAGAGGGTGGAGAGAGGGAGGGGGCGGGGTTAGGGGGTGGAGAGAGGGAGGGGGCGGGGTGGGTGGAGGGGGAGGGGGCGGGGTTAGAGGGTGGAGAGAGGGAGGGGGCGGGGTTAGAGGGTGGAGAGAGGGAGGGGGCGGGGTTAGAGGGTGGAGAGAGGGAGGGGGCGGGGTTAGATGGTGGAGAGAGGAAGGGGGCGGGGTTAGAGGGTGGAGAGAGGGAGGGGGCGGGGTTAGAGGGTGGAGAGAGGGAGGGGGCGGGGTTAGAGGGTGGAGAGGGCGAGGGGGCGGGGTTAGAGGGTGGAGAGAGGGAGGGGGCGGGTGGGTAATAGGGGTGGATGGAGGGAGGGGGCGGGGCGGCAGCAGTAGCAGCAACAACAACAACAGCCGCTGTCACCTTCTGCTGCCACTGATGCCACCCTTCCCCTTGTCCCGATGCAGCCGGGGACCGCCTTGTAAGATCAGAGAGGGGTTTTAACGCCACATTTGTAAGGGCCGGCCGTGTGCGTGCGTTGGGTCAATTTGGACTTAAAACTTTCGTGACTGCAGGAATTCATATTATTTGGTTCTTTCGGTAAAGTCACGTAGAAAGAAAAATAATAGTAAAATAAAGTGAATACAATATATATTTTTAAAAATTAATGTAGACCGTTCTTAATCGATTAAGAACCAGGCTACCGTCTACATTCATGTTTTTTTTATTAACTTTCTTTGTATTTTTCTATCTACGTGACTTTACCGAAAGAAACAAAGAATACGTGCGTTGGGTGTTTAGGTGAAGTGTACAGGGGAGTGGGTAGGTGAGGTGTACAGGTGAGGTGTACAGGTGAGGTGCACAGGTGAGGTGCACAGGTGAGGTGTACGGGAGAGTTGTACAGAGGAGTGGGTAGGTGAGGTGTACAGGTGAGGTGTACAGGTGAGGTGCACAAGTGAGGTGCACAGGTGAGGTGCACAGGTGAGGTGTACGGGAGAGTTGTACAGAGGAGTGGGTAGGTGAGGTGTACAGGTGAGGTGCACAGGTGAGGTGTACATGTGAGGTGTATAGGGGTGTGGGTAGGTGAGGTGTACAGGTGAGTGGGTAGGACGGGAAGTTGGCATTTGGGTTGGTAAGTGTATAGGTATTTAGGTGAATGGAGGGATATGTAGATAAGTGAGTGGGTGGGAATGTAAGTACATGCACTTATAGCCAGGAAAGTATATAGAGATGTGGGAACGGAGGTACTGTATATAGGTGAGTGGGTGGTGGTATGAACTGAGCCACACGAATTCGATTCCCGCTCACGCCCAACACCAGTGACGAGTATCTGAACCGTCCTGGCCCTCTCCTAGGTCGACTCAGCCTTTAAATGAGTACCTGGTGCGGTGTGTAAACATCGCTAAAGGTCGCTCGCTGGGCATGGTGCTGGTGCTGGCCATCTACCCACCCCTTTGACCTTCAGAGATGCTACTTGCTAACAGCACTTGGCCCAGCAGTTTGTTATGGCTAGACAGGGAATGTTTTGGTAGATCATTGGGTAGGTAGGTAGGTGAGCTGGATAATAAGTATAGTACATATGCCCAATCAAAATGCTAACGTTAGGCCACGTTGGCGAACTGCGGGAGCGCCATCTATTATAGGACGCATGGATAATTATTATTATAGGGTGTTTGTTTAAACTACAGTATCACTGTAAAGTACACTTCTGTAATAAAAATACTTTTTTAAAATCGATAAACTGTGTAGTAGGGTTACCGAAATACAATGTATTTCTTCTTCACGATACGATGTCATATTTAACGCGATGGCGATTAAGCGATATCATTTTCCCATTTCGTTGCAATATTACCGAATTTCACAATGCAATTGTACGGTATCCTGGAGCTTTTTTGTTCTCTGCTGGTTTTCCATTTGAAATAATGGTTACAGCCACGTAATTCACCCTACATACGTCTGACATAAGCAGTTACATTTTTGCAACTTCATAATCTATCAAGGTATGAATATTCTGACAACTTCAAATACATAATTATATAATCAACTCCATTTGGGATGTGACGGTTTATGGATTTCCCCTTCGTTGGCTGAGATCTTAACTCCACCAGTAAAGTAGTTCCTTAACTATCCATGCCGTGGTGCAAGACTAGAGGTTGTGGCTCTCGGGTTAGGGGCCATCCATTTAGTACGTACGCAAAAATCTGTCAAAACTTGACCCCTCCCCCCCCCCTCTCTATACGTGCGCGTACCTTTAATACCCCTCCGACCTGCGTAAGTACGCTTGATGCACCCCCCTCCCCCCAAATCCTATAGAACGGCCGATATTTAATCCACGCAGAAACGATCAAGGATTAATCATATTAACGTGTTTAAGCAAACAGATAGTCCACCGCCGGACTATCTAACTCATTTGAAGGCCAATGTAGACAAATTATTATCGAGGCTTCACCCCAACCCCCCCCCCCCCCCTGTTTCCTATGCGCACGTACATTGTCAGTAGACCCCCCTTACGCAAGCGGACGCATTTGGGTTCACCCCCCCCCCCCTCCATGCGTACATACTAAATTAATGGCCCCTTAGATGTTTTTTTTATTAATACAGGTAAGTATGTAGATAGACAAGTATGTTGGTAGATCAGTAGGTAGGTAGTTTGGTAGGTATGATCTGCAGGTATGTAATTAGGGTGGTGGGCAGGTAAACAGGTACGCAAGTTAGCTGAGACCTTAGATTCCGAAGGAAGGATTATTTTGAAGTGATGTCTTTTCTGATAAGTCTTGGAATTTTTTTTGGTCGGTTGATTTGTTTGCAAGGCTGGCTGACCCTTGTGTCTGTCCTAACTCAAAGCTCCTATTCTTGCATGGAGCCGGCTGGTCAAATGTTCTTTATGTTCACTACAGGTGCTTGTGCCTCTTTAGTCATATCCATTCCTCATACCATGAAGAAACAGGTTGGCTAACTTTAGGGGCTTATCCTTTTGTCTTTTCTTCAAGTCCCTTGAGAAACACTGACAGAATAATAAAAACGTGCACAAAAGTGGCCAAACGCTTTTTGTTTCTGGAACAGTAAAATATTTGGATGTTGCTAAATTCTTGGCATTAAGAGTTGAAAAACAGAAGGATACGTGTCATTTAGATTACTTTCAAACAGATAGGGAAACAAACCTGCTTGACACACCCTCCGAGAGTATCCTTTGGTAAGAAAAGGTCATGCGTGTGACCGAGCTAATCGTAAATGCCACATGAATGCCAAAAACCAGAGGTGGGACAAAGTCATTGTTATGCAAGTCCAAGTCGAGTCTGAAGTCATCAAATTCATGACTCGAGTCTGACTCGAGTCCAAGTCACATGACTCGAGTCCACACCTCAGAGGTGGGACAAAGTCATTGTTATGCAAGTCCAAGTCGAGTCTGAAGTCATCAAATTCATGACTCGAGTCTGACTCGAGTCCAAGTCACATGACTCGAGTCCACACCTCAGAGGTGGGACAAAGTCATTGTTATGCAAGTCCAAGTCGAGTCTGAAGTCATCAAATTCATGACTCGAGTCTGACTCGAGTCCAAGTCACATGACTCGAGTCCACACCTCAGAGGTGGGACAAAGTCATTGTTATGCAAGTCCAAGTCGAGTCTGAAGTCATCAAATTCATGACTCGAGTCTGACTCGAGTCCAAGTCACATGACTCGAGTCCACACCTCTGCCAAAAACACAGGAAACCTGCACACGGTTGGAGGTAAATCCCGCCCCTCCCCCTCGCGCATGCGTAGACTGTCGCGATAGCTATACAGTACTACGGCGTTATATTTGTATAATTATGCATACAATTTTTGTTTGTTGAACGTCCGAGAGCATGCTAGTATAACCTGTTGGGTGTAGTCAATGACTACACAATAAGATTGAGAGCATCGCTACATAAGTGAAGTGAATGCACAACTTTAGTTGATCATTATTAAATACATAACGCTGCTCTTGTTGGTTATCAGTGGCAGGCAGGGTTTTTGTTGTTTTGACTTTAGACTATAGTAATACCTGCGCTAAGTACTGTATACTCTCTGTGACGCGCAGAAATTACGTATTACTGTCGATAAGGGGTAGGTTTGCTCCAATTATTATTGCAGATATTTACAGTCCTGTACGAACGGGTTCTTTTTCTTCAGTGGAGTTGGCGAAGCATATTCATTGCCCCTTCGCGTCTTATTCGCCTAAAGAGCACTACGATTTTTTTAACACTTGGGAAGACAAGGTTTCAGGATGACGTGATTGCATGATGCAATAGGACCGTGGACTCGGCTGTCAAAGCATTTAGATAATTTTGCTGGGATAAATATCCACGTGATAAGCCACTTTGTTATTCTTTTGTTATATTTTGTGGCTAGGCTACTTCTGAAAAATAAGCTAATAGCTCAGCGGGCCTTAGCTGGTAAGATTAAATAGTTTAGTTTTATTTGTATATATTTTAACGTGATTTGTTTACTTTTCCTATACTTTGCACTCCTGTCATATTTTTGTATTTGTTGTCACGTTATGACCTACCCCTACTGGACATCTGTGAAAAAGGAACTTCATAGCTCATCGGATTCCTGCAGACTTCTGATTCTGAAGCCAATGGGAGTAGTAAGATGGCCGCCCCCGCTTCGCACGTG